CTTTGTCTGGTTAGCACAGATAACAATAGCAACAGGGACAAACAGTTTGCGAACAGATGTAACCAGGCTACTGGTCTGGAGGAGGAAGCCGGAACGCATCAGAAACAGGGGTGTAACCTTACAGCGCACTAGCGGCTCCGGGTAGCACTTGATGTGAAACCCCGACAAGCATCAGATTTGCGGCAGCCTCCCACCACACGAAAAAGCTGCCAGGAGGGAGCGCGCACTTGCTGCACGTCTGGGGAATTAATACCAAGTCATACACTAGCTTTGTGCACTCATACTTCCCAACAAAACAAATGCCTAGAAATAAGGGTCCAAATCCAGAGGAAAGATTAATGATTTTGATGGCTTTGTGTGTGACATTGCCAAACTAAGTATGATTTTAGAGGGCTGGATCCTTGGAGGCACCTTAAGTCAGACATCCAGTACTGCTGGCCCCAAAACAACTGCTTCTTCTGGGACTTTAGGGTAATACATCTACATTTCGGCATATTTATCATCAAAGTGGTTGCAAGGCACAGACGTCGCTGTCGTTCCACAGGCAGCACACCACAGCACAAAAGCTGCCCGGCAGAGCCAAGTGGGCAGCGTGCACCAGAACTAGGTCACACAGTTTAGATTTCTGTAAACTTCCCCTGTCACTCATTTGCAGAAGCCTTTTCCTTCGTGTTTCTGAAGGACTTATCGTACCCCTTCCCTTAAGACTGAAAGGCCTGCTGGGACCTGGTCTCACGTTTATCAGCGCAAAGAGCCAACACAGAGCCTTTCGCCATTAGATCATTTTTCCCTTTAGCAGCTCAGACAGGATCAAAGACAGTCCAAGGCAAGGACAAGCACTTCCGGTTGTTCAAGCTCAGAACGGCTCCGCGTTAGCCAAAAGACTCAGCAGAGGATCCTGCAAAGCATGCACTGACCTCCTGCCTCGCTCCAAAAGGCGGACCGAGCCCCCGGGCGTCCTGCCGTCCCGGCCAGCCGTGCTGGGAGGCCCCGCGCAGACACAGCCCACCAGCTTCCACTGGATTTGTCTCTCCAGACTCATTGACATTTCCATTGAGCAATAGTCACACCACAGGGTACGCTCAGCCTTAGCAGCCATTAGTGAATCAATGTGGGACGGGAGAGGGAGCACGTAGCTGGGGAATGGATGTTTTGGCGTCTGCTAGATGCAAGCCCTGATGGCACACAGAGGCCTTCACGAAGAGCGCGCCCACATGCCTTCTCTGATATCTAGTAAGGAGAGGGCTCATGTCGCGCTCCCTCCTTCAAGCAGGGTCTGTCTTTTCCCAGACGCCAATTTTCACAAAACCTGTAGAATTTAGTATCTTTAAAAATTCTAACCCTGGGGGGGGGGAAAAAAGTTGATGTGGGCAGACAAGTTACTGAGAAACGCTGGCTGTCTGCAAACAGAGACAGTGCAGCTGGAGAAGTAAACTCAGCTTGGAAGTAAATTATGACGGGAGGATCACATAGGGATGCTTAGGCTGCACCTTCCTCTGCCTCCAAAGGAGACTTCTGCTCTCACAATTCAAGTTTACCTGAGGAAAAATAATGTCAGAGCCACCCTTGCCCCACACAGCTGCTAGGAAGAGAGAGCTTTTAAGCTCACTGCTGCTCTCCTTTCCGCTCCCAGTCCACCCGCTCACGGCAGTATTGCTATGTCTCATTCCGCAATCAGAGCTGTCATTTCTGAGCACCGGGAGTACCCCCAGGAGCGCTGGGTGCTGTTTTCCACAGCTCTCAGCCGCTTGGACAAGAGGTCAGGCAGCAGCCCGAGAAGGGCTCCAAGCAGAGGCACGCTACACCCCAGGGAGCGTGCACGCCACAGGACTTAGCACTCCACCACATACAAGGAGTGGACAGTAAAGCTAGAAATTAAGGGTCCATTTATAAACCCTTTATTAATAAATGATTAATAGATGCAGCCATATTCTTTAATAACTTACAATAAAAAGATGCTACAAAAAGCTTAAGCAAGACAGATGGTGCTATAAAGTGAATTATAACATGTACAGTAGCTAGTGCAAAGTAATGGATGTCCTCATTTAATAAAAAGAATCTGATTTTATGCAGCAACTTTCATGCTTGAGGCATCTCAATACACTTTAATGAGCCCTTGTGGCCTCAGCAATAGCTTGGACATCAGATGCTGTTTTAGTAAGAGAGCGGATGTTGGTCAGGACACCAGAGTTATTCCACAGCCCTGATTTTTAACCTTTCGTTGGACAGCTACCAAAACCAGACAGAAAGGTCTGAAAGATGCCACCTCCTAACACTGCACTGCAGGGAACGACAAGCAAGCCTTAGTCCGGGGCTTGAAACATCATCCAACTAAGAAAAAAGAGCACTATTACCATCAACTAAACCAGACTGGCATCTGTATCCATGACTATAAGGCACGCCACAAATTATGTAATTTAATAAACACTGTAATAATAAAGTATTTATTTTGTATAATGAAGTGTTAGTGATTAGAAACCAAACACACATTGGGCATGCTGCTGCGGTTTCTCTTGAACCCATGCCAGTATCACTCAAGGCTAAATATGTCTGCAGCAGGTTGAGAGTAAGTTCCTAGCCTTGTTTTGATCAGCCTGTCAAGTGTTTTAGCTGCCATTCGGGTTTCTTTATATCACACTATAATTGGCTGCTTTCTCAAGGTGCAACGAAGAGAAAAAGCACACAGCAAAACAGGCTCCTTTTGCAAAATCCTCCACTGAAACTCCACTGCTTTTTTGAAAGCTGATTTCAGTAGCAAAGGGCATTTTGTAAACAGCTGGTGAAAATAGACTGGAACTGAAAGGCAGCTTGCATTAAACTCCACAAGAAAGCCTTATTTACCCTCATGTGCTTTCTTTGTAGTGTCGATCAAACCACTTTCAGCTCCCAGGGGAGGCCCTCGGAAAAATAAAGGGAATAAAAAAATAGAAAAGCAAATGACGTCCTCCAGAGTCCAAATGCACCTGAGAGCCCTTGGAACTGAGCTTGCTCGCTCCTGCTGCATCAGACACGCTTGTCATGCCGACCTCCCTGCCCAAGTTCAACCTCCAGGGTCAACAGGATGCCTTCCAGCACTGTCCTCACTTGCCCTTGGTTGTCAAGTCCTGCAGAGAGCTTTGATCAGAGAAGGCAGGCAGGGTATCCCGCTCCCGGCACCTGAACCCATCCTTCAACGTCAGCTCATTGATTTGCAGATGTCGGGAGAGAACACAGAAAAACACAAGGGTATAAGGGACAATCAATCACCAGTGCCACAGGACGTGGAGAAACGCGCCCTCCAGAGGGCTTGGCTTTGCTTCCAGACCATCAGAGCGCTCTTCTGCCTCCCTCACCAGCCACCAGCCGCCTCCGGGCGTCTCCAGGGCTAGCACATCGAGCCCTGGCTTTGCAGGGGCAAACGTTCCTGCTGCACCCAGAGCTGCGAGCACAGGAGAGTGCTTTTGGGGGTGATACTCTAAACCTGGGGAAGATAATTTGGCAGCAGCTATCAATGGGAGAGCTGCACTGGTTGTGGCTGCCAGGGGAGCTTGCTGCGACAACGTACACATTTACTCTGGAAACATGAGTGCAGAGCTGCCTCACTGAGACTGCGGAACTGTTCCCCTCCACAGGAGCAGCGCTCAGTGAGCAATTGGGTTTTCAGGTGCCAGGGCCATCTTGAAACAAGAAAGGAAGCGTGCATTTTCTGTGGTTGCTTCTCAGAGAAACAGAAATAAGTAACCAAGAATCACATGGTTCTGCAGTCGCTCAGATCAGAACCTAGACTCGCCCTCACCTCAGGAGCACAGTCAGAAGCTGCTGGGTGTATTCCACACGTTTGCACTTTGTCCTTCAGGTCTGAAAAGGCTTTACAGCGTGTGAATATTATGAGCAAGTAAAGTAGCCTGTTCTATTACAGAGAACAGATCTGACATGCTCTTTTCACTTTTCCAGGGTGTTCTATACCAATAAAGCACATTCCCCTTCCAGGTATGAGGTGGCACCAGCACCTGAAAGCCCAATTGCTTCCTTAACAGTGAGGCTATTCACCACAAAGGAGACTGCACCAGTTACAGCAAATTCCAACGTCTCTCACACTACCCACGATACTGAGAGACACAGACAAACAGGGCTGGATCCTGGGGCCGACAACTGTAGAAACTGTTCTACCTGACCATTGGTTGCCCTGTTCCTAGTCCCTTTTCTTTCTCTCTTTGGTTGCCTGCCACCATGAGCAAGGAATAAGAGAGAAGCAGAGCACTGGGACTGGGATTTCCTGTCTCTACTGGAAAACAACATTTTAAGCATGTCTCTACTACATTCAAGTAAGATTTCCCTCCTACCACCTCTACTGCAACGTTGCAAAAAGCCTCAACTTGCAAACTCTCACTCATGCTGCTGAATCTAAATCAACAGATCTGTTAACGTTTGTATCTCTGCAGATGAAAAGCAATGTTTCTGTGTAAGTGCCAGGTATTAGTATTTCCCTCACCTGGATTACAAGAAACTCTAAAGCCCCTGTTCCATCATGTGACATAGTACAACACATCGAGAACAGAAGATTACAAGGGAAATGCAAACTACCAAAATCAAAATATCAGACAAATAGCACAGCTTCAGGCAGCACATTGCCAGCATGCAAGAGAAGAAGCAGTGCCTCCACCTTTCTTCTTGGTACTAGAAAAATAACAACCCTTACGCTGTGCGCAGACACTGTTAATGGATACTTAAAAGGACCTACCTCCAATCACAGAGACCCCCAATGTGACTAGGAGGGGCAGCGTAGCATTACAGTTAGCTATGTAATACTCAAACAAGTTGTAACCTCGAGAAGAACATGTTTACCCCAGACCGAGTGTCCAATTGAAAGTGTTTTTAACAGACAGTTTGTGAACTGCATGCAGCCAGTAGCTAAAGAGGCTGGAATTGTTTAAGAACTTACTTCCAAAGTTGCTCTAATTACAATGCATGGGGTCTTGCTGCTCAATTTCAAAGCCAACGCACAATCCCTCCAGGCTTACCATCTGTGCACTGAATTCGGGTAACATGATGCATGTCGCTCCCACCCAGAGAGGACAGAGAAGCTTATTGATCACCCCGTGGACATGATGTAAAGGCAACACGTGCAGAATAACATCTTCCTTCTTCCACTCCCACTTGTCAATCAGCCCTGTGGTCTGTGGGAGAAAACATGTAATCCAACATAAGGGCAAGAGGAAAGTCTCTCAGCGCTTGAAGAAGCCCAAAGTATCCAAACTCAAGATCCCCTGCACCCAGCTGGTGGCAGAAACCTCAGACCTCCCTGAACACTGCCTGGGCACTGAGGCCTTTCCTTTAGGGTCAGCAGGAACAAAACTCCCATCACAAAAGCAGAATGCAATAGGAACACCTTCTGCATCTTTTCAATAGATATTTTGATACATAAAGTCTGTCCTTGTTACCAAGAAATAAGGAGTCAACAATGATTTTAAGTAGGACCTACAAAATTATTAGCCTGCTGCTGCACAGCCAAAGTTGGCAGAAGTAGTAATCAAAAAAGATATTTTTTTCCTGAAATCACGTTGACGTTCTTTGGACGCTGCAGACATTGACCTCTTAGCACCCATGAGGGATAGCTAGTGGGAGCAGGAACTCAATGTCCCATAAACAGAAAATAGGCTCTGTGTTGGTAAAGAAATATATTAATATATCAAGCCTCTAAAATATTGTGTTATGACACGTTAATTATCTACAGTATTAGACCTTAGGCTTTTGAGTAGAACAATGCCCTTCAGAGTCCAACCTTAACAACTGGAAAGCTTATTTCCAATTGTCTGAAAATAAAAAGCATTTGAATAGTGGAATCTAGTCACGTCATTCACCACTCTCTTCTCTCTTCCACAGCACAGTGGGTAGGTTTTAGGCTTTCTGCAAGACAGCACAAAAGACAATTACTGTTCAGGCTGCCTTCTAAACGATAGGCATATCTGTGAGGGAACAGATTCTTTGCCCAATATAGCCGAGCCCTGGTTCTGTCCATCAAGGTTTTCATACCACTCCCATCACTGCGGTATCTGAGCGTCTAGAACACTGCGAGTTCTCGGACACGACCGTAAGGCTCAATGCATTCCCTGCTCCTTTTCCCTAATGGCACGAGTCTATCAGTTGCAGGCAGTGATAAAAAACTGGTGAGGTAGTCAGCAGGCTCATTCAAACTTTTAATTCCTTTTGGCTCAGAGAGCTAATGGATTTTTTGCCTTGGGGATATATAGCTAAATAATGCACAGACTTCACGTAGTACAATACTGTGCTGGGCTAAGTTATTCTCCAGTTAGGGGCAAAGGTACTTTCCTAGTCTCAGTGAAGAAAAGCAAACTGCAAAGACAACAGGCTTTTTACAACACCTCCCATCCCTTCCGCTTTCCAGGAAACCGGGCAGAAGAATCCATCTGCCACTCGCTACAACTGCGGCACAGCAGCACCAAGAGAACAGACAAGGCTTAGAGCCTCGAACACATCTTAACTTTTTTTGTGTTCACCTTAAAAGTGTTGAGGATTTTAAAGACCCAGCCCCGTAATTCTGTGCAGGAACGAGGCTGTGCTGAAGTGTATTACATTATATAGCCCCAAGTCACCCGTGAGGGCCAAGACCTCTGTAACTCAGCATGAGCATTGCATGGAGAAAGCAGCACTCACCACAGCCTGTACGTTCTCATGGGTACTGAGGACGCCTTTCGGTCTCCCTGTTGTCCCGCTAGTGTAGATTATCATGGCTCCTCTGCCTTTCCATGAGGAGTTGGTTGTCAAGGGAACCTCTTCTACTGCAGTATTACTTGCAGATCCATCGCTATGAGATTTAAGAAGCGGCAAAACCGGGACTCCCAGCTTCGCAGCACTAGGGGCTATTTTCTCCACATATTCCTCCGTTGCAATGACTAAAGCACTCTGCGAGTCCTGAATCACGTACTCCAGTTCCTGCACAGGGTGTTTCTTGTAAAGGGGGACTGCTATGCCTCCACTCATCCATGAAGCCCACTGGGCCACCACATATGAGGCATCATTGGGACACAAAAATGAGATCCTCTCTTCTTTCAAGTCCCTGCTGGAGCACTTCAGAATTCTACAGATCTCCTGGGACAAGCACAGACTCTGACTGAAAAGGTCCTTGTACGTGTGCTCACCATTCTGGTCAATGATGGCAATTTTATCACCAAAAGCCAAAGCTCTAGCGAAGACAGGAGTAACGTCACTGCTGCAGGCTGCCCGTGCAGTTTGCAGACCCCTGCGGGAACAGCCAGCCCTCTTCTGCCCATACAGCCCCCGTCTGCAATGGTGCAAGTCACGAACGAGGCGTCGGATGGGCCGGCTCACGTGGGGGAAGAGCAAGGAGAGCAGCATCCTGCCAGCGTTGCTTGTTTAGAAGTGATTCTGCAGAAAGCAATTATAGGAACGGATGAGTAGGTATAGCAATTACCCAGGGGTTTATTCCCACAAAGGAGAAGTGGCAGCTTTCATCTGAATAACATGCACTGTATTATTAATGTTTATGCTTTAGATTGCGGTATCCCCAGTGTGTTAAGCCCTGTCCAAATAGAACAGGAGACAAAGACCCTTCCAGAAGCAGCATCAGTGTCCCTAAAAGACAATCTAACTTAAATTATAAGTACTTTTCACCCAGTCAGTAATATTAGGACACTACATAATGGCTACTTGAGGTGCCATTCTAACTCAGTGTAACCAGTAATTAAAGAAATGAAATACTTATGACAGGACCTAGCTCTTAAATTGCACTTTTCATCACTGAAGTAAAGCACAGAGCTAGACATGAAATCCAAGCCTCCTAACTTTTAGTCTCGCAGATACAGTTTCCTTTGTGAGCTTTCCTTTAAGCAATAGCGCACCTAAGTACCGGCAGATGCTCAAACCCTCTGACCTGACGGATCGTCCGTCACGCACGCTCCTTCAGCTCAAAAGCTTTCTTCTACGACAGACGAATCAAGTAGTTAAAACTCCAGAACAGTTACAGACAGCATGAGCCCTCACCACACTGCCCACACCAAACAGCTGGTTTTCCTCGTAAACAGCAGCAGGCAAACACAGCCCCTCACACGTTGATTTGTGGGTTAGTTACAGCATTTCTGAAAGTGCAAAACTCACAGCGCTCTGCAGAGCCAGGCAAAGCATCAGGACAAGCTCAGCCACGACACCCGAGCTCCATCTGGGCAGCCTGAGCTTGATCTGAACACGGCCCAAACCACCACCCGTGGCCTGGCCTCTCCCCAGCAGCAGGAGCCGTGCCCCGATGTTCAGTGACATTTCAGCATCGAAAAAATCTCCAAAAGGGGACTGGATGGAGTAACAGTGCCATTAAAGGCTTTACAGGAAAATTATGGGCTGGCACAAGTGCGATATATTCTGCCTTTGTGCTTAGATAGCAAAATGACATCAGTCTACTAACTCTTCCCATGAGTTAATAAGAAATTTTGCAGTGACTGATAAGAAATATTAGAAAGTTCCTCTTTACCACTGTATTCATCATCCCCTCCCTTTCAAAGCAAAATGTTTGTGTAACAATAATAGCTGCTGCTTGGATTACCTCACAGAAAGGTTTGGGAGAAAGTTACTGCACAATATAAAAATTGTAAGAACGCGACAAGGAGATAGGACCTCGGGAACCATGAGAACACCCTGCAGGGGAGACTGCTAGCACACCGGAGACAAGAGGAAGAAGGGGCAAACAGGGAGGAGTGAGGAGCTGTCTGTCAAGAGAATCCTGAATTCCCTCTGCACAGAACCTGCAGCTCTGACTGCAAGCTCAGGAAGAACAAAAGAATTTGTTTGATACAATCCATCCTCTCCACGCAGAGACTGTCACCAACACCAGCAGGGGAGCGGAGAGCAGGAAAGAGAAGAGGCCTGTGACAAAGGTGGAAGAGAAAGGGCTTTACTGCAGAGTTTATCTAATGGCTACCATTAAACGCCACCAATGAAGCATCTTTAGAGAGATACGAAGACCAGATACGATATCCAAGATAGCAAATTCCCATTTCATAAAAGATCTGGCAACATTATGTGACATTTCCTTGATGCTAGCAATTATTTGATTTTTATACAATGTTTGATAAAAAAATCTATTACTGCAGCAGCTTAACTCGAACAGTCTTCTCACTCAGCTTCCCACCATAGCAAGAAGCTGAAACAAAAAGGACCCAGAGAACTGGCAACTCCTCGGAGAAGAATCGAATGCACCTTCACCGAGCTCACAGTTTGCTTAGATCCTCCCACTGGCAGCGCCTGCTGACAGCAACAAGTGTTTATTTTTGCATAGGAGTAGCTGTGAACCCACCGTTCACACACAGAACGTTTCTGGAATCAGAAATTGGTCTGCACATATTTTCTTTGCATATTGACCTCAATTTCTGCTTCTGCAAAAGAAGCCTGTGATTTACTGCGGAAACATCTGGGGTGGAGGGGCTTTAAACCCAGAAGTGTGGTAAACACGTGCACTCATGATATAGACCATTAGAATGGAAAAAACAAAACAGGTCATGACAAAACTAGCATGACATCTTTCCATTTCTCTGTAGAGACTCAAATCTAAAATAAACAGAGAATATAGCCTACAACCCATACCAAATCACCTCCTCCTAACCTGCCCAAGACCAGCTTGCTGGCACAAGTGTGACCCAGTCATTAAGAGGGGCGTTAATTGGAAGCGACTGTGTCTGCCAGGATCACGCGGGAGAGTGCCGTGTTCCTGGCCAGTACAGTTAAGTGCACTTGGCATACTTGGTTTTCCTTGCAAGGCTCAGGAGCAGGTGTTAGCTGCTGCTTCAGAACTGCCGCTTCGAAAAAAATCACATTATCCCCTTTTCACCACAGCGCCAGTCCAGATTTAATGGAACAATAAACAGTAACACCTTTAGCTGGCCCTGTGCATTTACGGACTCTGGAGAAACAGTGTTGACTGCGTGCAGAACCGCAGAAACAGGGGACGGGGCAGCTGAGGTAGCACTGGGGGCAGTTTCCTTTATGTTACCAGTTGCTCAGAGCGACAATCAGTAGCAGAAATCATCCTCACCGGCTGTGCATACCCAGGTAAGAAGTTTGTTGCTGCAGGGGGCTTGGGCCTAAGGCAGCGGAGCAGTTTAACACTTGCTGTCTTTAAAGGAAAAGTTCAACCCCCGCCCTTCGAAGGGCAAAGGGAGAAACGAGAGCAGGCGCGGCCAGCGCAGGCCGACTCCTGGCGCCACAGGCAGGCC